GGAGTTTCTTGTGCCGGAGTCTCTTCTGCCGGAGTCTCTTCTGTCGGGGTTTCTTCTGCAGCTGGCTCTTCTGCCGAGGTCTCCTCAGGAGAAGCTTCCGGCGCCGATTCAGCTGCACCCTCTTCCGCAGGAGCTTCGGTGGTAGCCTCGGGGACGGGTTCGGGTACCGGCTCAGCTACAGGTTCGTCTGCAGCAGTCTCCTCTGCAGCAGTCTCCTCTGCAGCAGGCTCTGGTGAAGGCTCGGCGGCGGCGGCGGCGGCGGCGTTCTTGCCCTTCTTCTTCTTCTTCTTTGACTTTTTACCCTTGTCGGCAGGTTCGGCTTCATCCTCAGCCGGTGCCTCTTCTGCCGGTGCTGGTTCTGGTTCTGGCACTGCTTCCTCTGCCGCCGGGGTCTCGTCCGCCGACGGCATGTCGTCTGCCGGGGCCTCTACCGGGGCCTCTTCGGGCGGTTGCTCCTCAGCTGATGGTGTAGATGCAGCGGCAAGCTGCTGCTTCTTGGCCTTCTTCCTGGCCTTCTTCCTGTCCTTTGCGGACATGGAGACGGCATCCTGCTGCTGGTCGGCGGCGACGCCATCTTCCAAATCATCGGCGCCTACCATTTCCGGTTGTCAGCGGAGAGGAGAGATTTGACGAGAGTGGTTGAATTTTTTCCTTCCTCCTTTGCCCACTCGTCCCTTCTGTGACGACGGTGTGGTGTACTTGTATATGTAGGTGGGACGGTGTAGGTCCGGGGTGGTGTGGGGGTCGAGGGAGGCGGGTAAAAAAAAAAAAAGAAAGATTATATGTACGAGTACCTTGTACTACAGATCATGCTCCGTACTCGTACTAGCAAGGAAGGAAGGAACAGGGGGGGTGGGACACTGATGGAACAAGAGGAATAAAGTGGGATGAAGGGGGAGAAGAAGAAGAAGGATATACACACCTGGTTCATGGCCGGCAGGTCCATCTCTGGCCTTATCCTCGTCATTCGTGCCGTTGTTCTGGTAATAATTGACTGTTGAGAAATCCGAGTATCGGACGGCGGATAAGTCGACGACCCGTACTGTGTCGTCGTCGTCGTCCATTGCGTCTCTGTCTCGTGTGGGTGTCTTGCGTGCGTGCGTGTATGATATGTATGTATATATATGTATGTATGTGCATGTGCACTCCGATTGTGCTGATCTCTCTCTTCCTCTCGTCCTTTCCTTCTCCTACCTCTTTCTCCCAAACGGAGAGAGAGAGAGAGTTGGGGATATTATATCTCGGAAACTGTTCCCTGATCTCAATGGTCGGCTGGTCCCCTACACCAGCAGAGAGGAAGGCGTACCCGTACAGGCACTATGCTGAGAGACGAATGGCGATGTAGAAGACAGGCTAGACTCCTTGGGCAATCGGGCATATGCGGGCAGGATAGGTTCCAATGCCCCGAGTGGAATATACATTGAAAGGTTTGCCTCGAAGTTGAGCGGATGAGGGTGGGGGGGTGTAGTTGACATGATGACCATGATGAGGTAGATGACAGTGATCAAGATGAGACGATATACCCTCATACAAGCAGCCAGAGAAGTAGAAGGGAGAGAAAGATACATGAGATGAGATATAAAGAGGTGATGCCTCTCTGTCCCGTACAATGATACTACATTACAAGAGTACCGCACACATCTGAATCTGTGAGGTGAGAGAGAAGGGGGGGGCGTGTGTGTGTGCAGCTGTGCAGTGCAGCTGTTCTCTGTTACCTTTATTTACTTTTATGCTGTGCTGTGCTGCGTCGTGTTTGTGTGTAGGTGGGGGATGGGCGTGTGCGTGCGTGCGTGCGTGCGTGCGTGCGTGCGTATGTGCTGTACAAATTGATCCTAAGGCTAAGGAAGAAGAGAAAAAGCACGCAGATCGATCCACAGGTTACGGGAGGGTTGGGGAGAATGGCAAGGCAAGAGAAAGAAGGGATAATGCGATATATTGTCATCGGTGGCAAAGCACCTCTGCCCAGTATTACGAGGAAGGCTGGGAGGGGGGGGGGAGAGAAGAAAGAAAAAAGAAAAAAAGAGGAATAAGAAAAAAGAAAAGGGAACCTTGTTCAGAGCCTGAAGAGTTGAATCCAGTCACAAGTCTGTTTTACTCTGCCGATAGTTCTGGGACGACGATTATGTCGGGATGAGGGGGGGAGGGAGAGATAGGAGAATGTGAGGAGAATGTGAGAGAGGACGACGTGGCTGGCGGATGCATCATGCCCCCCCCCCCCCTTTGGCGGATTAGAGCCTAGAGGTCGGAAGATGTAATATTAATAAAAATTAGATGGCGGCCCAATTCATGGTT